AATGTAGAAGCAGTGGCAAGCTAACTCCAACAGAATGGCCAGTGGACAGACAGGAATGAGGACAAGATAGCCACAAAAGAGGGACTGAGAAGGGACCTCCGCAGCAATCCTAGGCGTTATGAGCGTAGGCAATGGGGAGATAAAACCCTTGGGGAGGCAGCCTTTGATGACAACCAAAGGTCGCATTGTGGCTCCTTTGGTGCGTTTGCACATGGTCTGAGGTGCGTCAGGAATCAGTGAGCTGCTTTCTTCAGACCTGTTACTGTCTTGCCGCTTGCACATTTCGGCAGCACCTGCTATTTTCAAGTCAGCAGGGAGCATCCGCAACTCTGTGCTGTCGCTAGTATGGCTTCGTTCTGCTGCCTCAATGCAGAGGAGATGGTTCTGCAGGTAGGTGCTCCGTCTCCAGAAGGGGGCAATCGCTGCCTGGCTTATAGACAACCGAATGGAAGTCACCAGGGCAAACCAAGCCTCCCTGATTGCATGATAACATGCGGAGATCGCCGTCATAAGCCATTTCATAATGCCGGATTCCATATTGGGCAGGTTTGGCCATTGCACCCGAGGCACTGGGCTCTTGGGCCACAGGGCTTGCGCTGTCTCATCTGACCAGGCGGTCATAACGACACGGCATGTGTGTGTCTGTCGCCACTTTTCCCATTGCTGGAGGGTCATTGTCGGCGCACTATCAAAGGCCCAGCTCGTGGTAGGGTAGGAAGTGGCAAGCAGTTCTGCCGGGAGGTCAATCAGCATGCACGACAGAAGGACAACCCCCTGTGGTCGCGACTTCATGTCGCGCGAGAAAACAGGTTTTGTCATCCGTACTGCAAACGTTTGCCGCCATCAAGAGCAGGGATAGTGTGTGTCTATGTCCCCTTGCAGGAGGTTTGAGCCAGAGGGAAAGGCAGCGGGCGTGCACTACCCGTGAAATTGGGACAATAGACGGGTGTCCATATTGGGCCTTACTGGGGGAACTAAAAATAGACAACCATACATAAAGGTGCAACTCCAGCCTACCATCGATGGGCAGGATTTGGCGGGCAAGGCCCTGTCCATGCGCTGGTGAGTACCATGCCGGCTTGTTGATATCTCCGTCATGGATCGACACTAGGCTCTCACGCTTCTGCTTATCTCAGGCGACGCTTCTTGGCACTTGGGACTACCCGCGCTCTCTTGGTCAACCGCTCTTCTAAAGAAAGCTGATCCTGGTTGCTAGCACCTTGATACGTGCGTTTTCGTCTGACGACTATTTGGGGAGGTAGTGATACCACTCCAGCAACACCGCCAAAGATACCAGCAGAGGAAGTGATTTGGCTGTCGAGTTCTGCAAGAAGTTCAGTCCGTTTCAGGCGGAGTTGTTCGCTCCTGAACAATGGTGGATCAGCAAGGGAGAAGCAATATTGTCGACACACGAAACTATGGAGTAAAGTCAGATGAGCGTCAGTAGGACCGGGACTGACCCAAAATCCATCATGTAGCCAAATGGCCGAGCGGAACCCAAGGATTGGTTGCAGAAAGTTGTAGGCATCCCAAGTCAATTGTTGTTCGAGCTGTTCGAAGAAGCGGAAGGGATCCGCACGGCTTCGCTCGCTGGCTCTAACTGTACACCAGGTTGGTGGGTTATCCATGACATAACGGCTGGCCGCATGGCGGCCAACCGATCGGCGATCTTGAAAAGGGATCGACTTTGCTCTCCATGAGTGCTAATAGCGGCTGTTCATGGTATAGTATGTGATGGACGAGTCGCCATCGATAGCCTTTGTTGGAGCCGTAGACACTAATGCCTCGATCATTGATCGCAACGCACTGCTGCGTGCAGACATTGATCCAGCGTTCTTGATACTGCACTCTCATCTTAGTGAGTTGAAACCATCCTGCCATCCTGGAACTACTGCCGCGCATCTTGGATAATTTTCTGCCAGTGCAAAGAAGCGCAGCAAATATACATTCATGAGGCTGTCTTGGTGATGAAAGTTCACCTGAATGTCCAGGACCCCATATTGAATATCAGATAGAGTATTAAAAAAAAAGAAAAACCACCTTGGGTAGAGCTGCTTCCCACCGAAGGACCAGATTCGGACGCCTTCGACGAGGAGTTTCATACGGAATTCCCCTAACCCCAAGGCAGTGCGGCAAGGAACCAAGACGGGTGCCTTAGCACCTGCCCTGGGCAGGCAGCCCCCCTTCACAGGCATTATATGGCACAAGCACTGAAAACAGAAGCATACCATCCCTCGGGCCGTCGTTCCAGCTTGGTGTGACAGGACATATGCCTTCGCAGCTGTCCTGATGGTTTTGTCGCGGCCAACCCTCTGCGGATCGTCCGTGTCGAGGGCGCGAAATGCAGGCGAGAGTGCGATTTGGCTTTGTCGCGGGCAACCCGCTGCGGAGATCGTGCGTGTCGAGTGCGCGAAATGCAGGCGAGAGTGGAGCTGGTTTGTCGCGGGCCAACCCTCTGCGGAGATCGTGCGTGCTGAGAGCGCAAAATGCAGGCGAGAGTGCGATTTGCCCCAGTTGCGGGCAACCCTCACAGATCGTGCGTGTCGAGTGCGCGAAATGCAGGCGAGTCTTTTGCACGGAGCCGCCATGTGTGCAGAGAATGCACAGGTCAGCTTGTGCTGCTTGTGATGCGCGAAATGCAGGCGAGAGTGCGATCTGGTCAGCCACTCTTGGTCACATTCCCGCAGCAGCGCGGTGACTGTTCCATTGTTTGAGGGGACTGTCCGCGATAATGGATCGAATCAGATCAGACCGACTTTAACTGGCAAGTCAGGAGGCATGGTTGACATTTTGGTGCGTTTCTGTCCTCTAATGCTCATAATGCATGACTCTGGAAAACCACTGGTGAGAAAATCGGCTCCAACGCGCGAAACGAAAGGGCAATCCATTGCCAACAGTACGGAGCTGTTCAGTGAATTTGGCTGTCAGTGAGATGGTTGGTGCTCCTTGCTGCCTCGCTATGGTGCCTCTGAACAGCTGGTCAGCGAGGGCAGCCCTCTTCTGCAAATAATCATGGACATTCAGCGGCAACCTTGTTGAGACATCGAGACAAGAGTGGACAGGCTGTCATTCAGTGCATCATGCAGCGCCCTTGTACTGGTGAAACAAATACAGGACGGAATTCTCAATCGCGTGCAGAGTTTCTCTTGTAGTTGCAGTCTTGGCGTGCGATGGGCAGAGAGGCTCAACAGGGGTATCACTGCAGCGCCTCTTGTTCATCATATCCATCGGGAGGGAGGAGGTTGATTGACTTAGGAATTCCAAAGCGAAACCGCAAATCAAACGTGTTGCTCGAAAATTTGCACCCTCCTATTGGTTTCCACGTGTCGTGTGACCATGCTGACGAAGGAATGGGCTCTGGCTCGTGGGTTCTTCGGGTAGAAAGAGTGATGGAAGAAAAAGGTGGAAAGGAAAGGGCAAACAACAAAGGGAAAATGAAAAGGCAAGTGTGAGGAGTTGGCAGATCACCATTCAATTGCAGACCTCAAAGCATTGCGTTTTAGACAGGTGTATGAAGGGGAAACTTCCGAATCCATCGCAGCAACAAAAGTTGCGGAGTTAGCCGTGCAAAATGTTTAGCAAATGGCTCAAGAGCAAGACAATGCGATGAAACGGTTGGAAGAGCAGCGAGAGCATTTCCAGCAACGGTTGGCTCAGGCAACTGTGGCTCACGAAAAGGCTGTTCAAGAGAGAGACGCCTTGGCAACAAATTGCGCAGAAGGCATTTAAACTTCGAAAAATTGAAGTCTTTTCTTTCCTGGCCGAAGACTCAATCACAAGTAGCGCAAGATGACCTGTGCATTCTCTGCACACATGGCGTCCCCACCCGTGCCAAAAAAACTTGGCAAAGTTGAAGTCAGAATCGCCATCTTGGTGAGCTCCAAGGGGTCACGACCCAAATCTGCAAGGGTTCAAGAGAACCACAAACAAGTTGGCAAGCAGCTGGCAGCTTGCAGCTCAGCAGCCAGGCTCAAAAGCCATGATGCTCAGGGATTCACCTTCTCTCTCTTCTGAACATCCTCCTTGCACTCCATGAGCTTGAATCCAGTGCTGCCAGGTTGCACTGATTGCAGCTGCAAAACGCCGCAAACTGACATTGGTACAACCATGTCTGGCAAGACGGGTTCAAAACACGGTGTTGAGTTCCCTTGCTGAGCTCTCTGTTCCACTACATGTGAGCCGATAGCAACTTCAAGGGAACCCCTGTGCACGGACAGAGTGAGGCTGCATACAATCGTGTTGCATGCCCAATTGGCTGGATCCCAGGCGGGGACCTGAGTCCTTGTCTAGGAAGTGGGCGACTGCCCTGCCAGCCGTGTGCAAAGTGTACAGCAAATACCATCCTGAGCCTGTTTCACATGGGCACTGCACGACTTACTGGGGAGGCCCTCCGTGGCGAGACCGGTTTTGCTTGTGTTTTTGGACCCCAAAATGAAGGCCACAAATTCACCCGAAAATGCAATTTATCTTTGGACACATCAATGGCCAAACCCACGCCCAAGCCTTGTTAAGAATGGTTGAGCGAAGAATATTTGGAATGCCTTGGCGCAAGTGCCCCAGTGGGCTGCTCATGGCACGGGCGTCCTCAAGAGATTTCACTTAGGATGACGATTGTTAAAGCGTGGGACATATGGATGTCGTACGTCAATTGTCGTGGGTTCAATTCACAAAAGTCAGGACGTTCCCCTTTCTTGAGGACCAATTCTGAGAAACTGTTGCTTGCTTTGGCAAACATAGAGCCCTGAATTTAATGGGGAAAAGATGTTGGTTCGCTGCATGCTTTCGTCCAATGATATATTGTTTGATTCTCGCCGAGAAAGTGCTCATATGATACAATGACAAGCGAGAAACATGCGCATGGTAGCAACCAATGCCCAGGTGACTATTCAAGCACTGCCGATAAATAGGATTCTCCCATATAGATGCTTGCTGGTGAGTTCTCTAGGAGTCGATTTCAATGAGAAAGCTTTTGATAATTCTGCTTGCTGTGCGACCCATGCTTTGGCTCCAGAAGAAGCCCGTCATGAGGGTGGGAGCAAGCGCTGCTGGCGCTGAGCAGGAGAGTTTTCTTGCAGAACAAAGAATGCCTTGTGTGCCAGCATGCAGCCCTTATTGCTGTGCTTCCCACCTAAAAGTAGAATCACTATCGGTTGTGATGAAAGCAGACTTGACAATGGTCTGGTTAGTGCGGGACTTTGCAGGACTGATGATAGGTCCATGGCACCGGAGGCCACACATTCAAGCTTTGGATGTGAATTCTGAAGGTACAAAGTGAGTGCAGATGATTGTGGGGTAGCATTGTGCGTTTCAGCGAGCTTCATGTTTCATCGAATGGATCCATCCGTTTGAGACGGTGGCAGGAAAGTGTGCCATGTGAAGATTTCGCCACCTGTGGCGTCGACAGAGTCTCAGAACAGGTGAGCCGCGTATGGGGGCATCCTTGTTTAAAATGATGTTCAACTCTGGCTTAGCTGAGGCCCAGTTCCAAAACAGACAGTTCCCAAAGAATGCTAAACAGCAGGCCGGTTGCAAGGATGCCTTGGATGCACGAGGTTGCTTGGTAGGCGACTTGCTGTGTTCCCTATGTGCCACTTTTCAATCATGTAGGATACCAGCCTTACTGCCAGCAGGACTCCTACTTTGTTGTGGAAGACATGGGGGTCACCTTTGGTGTCCGCTTGGGAGGTGTTGACAGCGTGGCCTTGTATGGTTCAACACTGAGCGTGTCAGATTTTTCTAGGGTGCATTCAGTTTGCCATTGCTGCATGAGCAAGGAGTGGCAGATGGCCATGGAGAGTGCGGGGAGCTGTGCGCTGCTTTCGTACGCTTGGACCTTACTCGGCTCTGGTTGAGGGTGCTGACAGACCTAATGCTGATGGTCAAAAACCGAAAGTGCTCAGACTGTATATTGTTTTGATCTATTGATGCTTAAAGAGATGGATGGGATTTCTTGCCCAGGTCGACATCTTCCCACGCAGCTGGCGCAATCCCGACACTTCGCAGAAGGTGAGGGAGGAGACTTTAGCAGTGCAGTTTGTTGGACTCGATTTTTTTTTCCATGCATTCAAGCAGGTCTTCTGCTTTCTGCGCTCGCAGCCGATTCGGATGGTTCTCTCTGCCATGTGAGGTCGACTGGATGCAGCCATGCATGAAGCTTTCCTGCAAACTGAGTTGCTCCAGCAATCCTCAGGCCATGCAAACAGCTCAGCAGATCTGAGACGCTGAAAATGTGTATGATATAGTAATATAGTGGAGTAGGTAGTAGATTCTGGAGGACATGACTTGAGGCAGGAGGTGCAGGTTCAAGTTGATCAAGAAGTTGGCTGCGTTTCTGCCGCAAAAGCAAGCAAAAGGCTAGCTCTGGTTTTTGTCAGACCGTGCACAGTAACTGGACATGGGATGTTGCAAATCTTTTGTGTTTGGCTACTTTGATAGAACACACACATACACACACACACACATATATAATCATATATATATATATGTATAGAAATGTAGTCCCATAGTGTGCCCGGCTATGCCTAGTTCACAAGACGTAAGCTTGGTGCCTTTACGCACTGTGGATTTGCCTACGCAGGCTTGCCGCTTTGGGCGTCAGGAGCCTGCGTTTCAGCTGCAGCAGTTGAAACCTCAGAGAAAGAACGATGGTGTTGGCGACATGCCAAACTTTTCCAAAATGCTCGAAGCTGGGACATGTGAAGTGTTTTTAGAGGTGCTCATTCCCAAGGAGTATCCTCAAACTATGGTGAGGGAAATGCAATGCTTGAGCAGTATTTCGGTGTTTGCTTGTTGAAAAGGCTTGTCTTTGGGCAAGATGGTACTATGTACATTGTACATTATCTTCAGCTTTCAAAAGAATCCTTGGTTCCGCAATGCTTTGCACCAAGGTCTCCCGACACAACATCGTTGTGGCCAACTGTGGTGACTGCAGATGCGCAGGGACGCACAAGAAGTGACTGTGATCCTGTCAATTTCATGAAGTCCACCAAGACGGTGCCACAAGATCCCATATGGCCCATGTGTCTTGAATGTTTGCTCGTCTTAGTTGGCCAAATGCACATTGCTTATAGAGCTTTTGGGCCGCAAATTAACAACCAGCACAATCACATGAAGGAGGTGGTAGATGTGCCGTGGCATTTCGCTTGGATGAAGGTCTTGGAGGAGCAGGGAGCCGCTCAAGAGCTCTCTTCCGACCACAACGTCCAGAACGCAACGCCGGAGGACGGGACAACGACTGAAATAGACTTTCAGTAACGAAACGCTTTGCCCAAAGCAAGCAAGGAAGCGCATCTCACAGAGAATACAAGTAGATTCGTAGATCTGACATATAATTGGCCTTTTCAAGGATATAGGATATTGCTCTCTCTCTCTCTCTCACTCTCTCTCTCTCTCACTCTCCCCCTCTGGCTCTCTGTTGGTTGTGAGTAGTGATGACTTGGAGCTGCCTGCTTGCCTTCTTTTGTTCCTTTGTCAGAGCGAGCCAGTCGCTTTGCATGCAGGAGCTCCGGCGCGTGCTGGCGGCAGGTGGTACCGAACCTTCCATCTCTGCATGGGCAGCACTACTTTGTACATGTTGTTTGGCTTTGGTAGCACTGCACCACCTTCCAAGTGTGCTTTTGGGCTAACTAGCATGCTGGTACGTTTCCAAGATGTTTCAAGTGCCTGTCTTTTGTTTCATGACAGCACTGGGCGAAGGTACCATCACTCCTGACCAGCGTGTCACCATTGCGGGTGCACCTGGGCGCTTGGCCCGCGCCCCAGCCTTTCTGATGGCCACCAACCTAAAAGAAATACTAGCCTGTCAGCAGATATTGCTTGTATTTTCTAGCCCACCCTAACCCTTACTTAATTATGTAGGCGCCTGCTTAATTAAAAAGGGACAAACGTGATTGCTCCTAGCTACTTAAGCTTCTACATATGGACTCAGGATAGCGCTCGCACTGTTCATGTGGTTCCTAGTTTTTTGGGGAACCTTGCTGTACCTTTCCTATCCCCACTAGGCTTTTCTGATGCAAGCCAGCCACGGTAGCTATAAAGGGTGTTTTGGACAAGTGCAACATAAAAGGACACTGGAGCAGCCATGCTAACTGCTAGCAACCCCAGACACTTGGCAGTATTGTATGCAGATCGAACATATTGGGGGGCTGCCCTTATGCTCAAGAAAGCAGTTGAGGCTACGACGCGAGCGTTTGGAGATGCCTGGGCCAAGCAACAGGCCAGGCATGTCACAAAATCCTTCAGCTGCGCACTGGACTTCATCAGGGGCCTCCTGAGAAGCACATCATCACAGCCATTCCAGAGGTGCGAAGCATACCGCCTGGACACCCAGAGACGCCCAACACCGGTTCCACCGGTAGAGACTTCGGCTTCTCGTTTCAGGCGACGCCCCGAACAGCGCTTCCTGCTGCTAGCCTCGGATGGCGTCTTCGGCTTTATGTCGCTCGGCGAAATCAGAGAGCGCCTTGAAAGGCCCTTTTCAAGGCCGCCGAAGGCCTTGAAAGACCCTGCTGGTATTTTATTTTCCGCCTTTTCAGCTTCACTTGGCTTTGACCCCTGAGAAACTAAAATGTTCATACATTTTCATGGCAGAAAGATCATAGAGTGATCTCAGATCTCCGAGTTCTCGATGATTCTGCAAACACTGTTCATACACAGCTCTCGAGCTCCCCTGTGATGTGATTTTCTGATCAGAACGATTTTTTTGGCAGATTTTTGGTTCTTAGCTTTGGCCAGGTCATCACAAGAAGTGGTCTCCCTGTCACTGAACCCAGATTGATATATCAAGAAGATACACAGATTGTCGCACAAGATTACATGCAAGCAAGACAAACAGTCACAAACTTCGCATCCAGGTGTGTGGCTACAGCGAGTCAACTACCGCCTGTTGCTCCGCTTTCCAGTCTTTCCCACGCGATCGTTTGCTCTGCAAGGCCCTCAGGTATTTTGAGCAACACAGAGAAAACCGACGCTTCAAGCAGTATCTAGTGACACGGTGTAGCCATTTCAGCATGTTGGAAAATCCGAACTTTCCCGCGCCCAAGCACGGCAAGTTGGTATTTTTTTAAAATAATTGGTTTGCCTTGAAGGGGATTGACGTCCAGCTGCATTCACCAGGCTGTTGCACGGCGCAGCGACGACAACTGCACCTGCCTAGTGGTGGACCTTCCAAGAGTCGGAGGTCCCAGTTGTGAAAAATCTGGAAGGTCGTTTGATTGTTCCCCAGATAGCTGAAAGCTTTTTGGGGGTTCTTACTTCTCAATGACTTTTGATGCCAATGTAACTTTTTGGTGTCAGATCAGGTCAGCTGAGGTCAGCTGCCTGTCTTGTTGGGCGTTTTTGATCGTTTTTGATTTGTTTTTCTCCCCTGATGTCTAGCTCGGGATGGAACTGGAGGCCCAGAGTCTGGCGTTTGTTCGCGTTTGCCATGACCATTGGCTGTGCAACCACGCCCAGGTGGATGGAACACCGAACGTGCCAAGCCTGAGGTCCGAGACCAGGCGACCTGAAACGCTTTTGAAGTGCCACAGCAAAGTGATATAAAAGGGTTTCACGGTTTCACCTGAGAACAAACCAGCTGACCCCGGCCTGTATCAAGTGTATTTCGACTCAGGGCTTGTGAATTGGCGTAAGATGGACCGGGCTTGCGAGGCCAAACTGGGTGAACTCTGAGATGCAGGAAGAGGTCGAAGATCCGGGCTGTGTCGTCATTATTGTCGCTTCGGTATGTTAGCTCAGATAAGCTTGGAGCCTACTTGCAGAGATCAGGATCAGACGCACACAATGTGTTCTCCAACACTCAGTTTATGTGGGTAGCTTTGATTGGATGAGCTTCAGTATCTACATGCAAGACAGGTGGAGAGCATCAAAATGTCAGCGTCCAATGGCATGCCTGAGCCTAAATCAACCTGGTGGTCATGCGCAGTAAGTATCAGGTGGTTGATCGTTCCAAGAGCTAGAGCTACAACAATTGGCAGAACTCATGCCACGTCATCACCTTGAATCCAAACGATCCTCATTGTCGATTCTTTCCAGATCCTCGTTGCCGCGTTTGGATGCTTCGTGGGCTCTGGCTCTTGAAGAGGGCTCTTGGACGACCAGAATGTCCAAGGCCTCCAGCCCACACCAAGATCGAGGAGGATGCCTCTCTTGTCAGGAGGGCTTTTTCGCTTTTTGCCTCTCTCAAGCACAAATGTTAAAACAGATCTTTGTCACGTAGGTTTGGCACCAAAAAAGTAGTGTTTCACTTATTCTGCATTTGTACTCTCATCCCCAATGATGGGCTTTTGAACCCCTCAGCTTGTATGCGAACTGTTTGCAGGCCGAAACAAGGGAGATTAGATGATCATTCGAATGGTGTCAGGTGCGGCGGATGTCGGCATGATTAAACTTGTAATGAGGGTTTTGAGTTTTGAGGGAAGCCTTGAAAGAAAGAAAACTCCAATGATCCTGAAAGTTGTTTTCTTAGGATGAATTTTGCTTGTATTAGGTTGGAGGCCGTTGCTGTTAGAAACAAGGAAAAAAGGAGGGGGCAGGCTGATAGGTGCGGTTTAAGTAGCTAGCCCTACTAGGCGCCAGGTGCAGGGCTCAGGCTTCAAGGAAGCTCCCCTCACTGAAGGCTCAGGTGGGGGGGGAGCTTGCTTGAAGCCTGAGCCTTAATGATTTGGTTTCACTCTTTGGGGGATTTGGTTTCAGATTTATCAGCCAAATTCTTCATGCTTCTGGCTTGCCCTTGGTCTCTGATGTTGATAAATTGATCCAGCCCTCGCACATCAGAGAAAAGACAAGAAACATTTTGGCCGTGAATGTAGCACCCGTATTGGATTCTTAGTCCGGTTGTTGACCTGACCCGCCTCAGGCACAAAGAGGGCTTGAAGGAAGCTTGTGGCTCAAACATGACCTTCCGAGCACGAGGATTCAATATTCCGCATGCTAAGGATTCGGATCGAACATCCATCCCTTCTTCCCCAACCGCACCAGAGGAGGCCAGGACTTGAAGCTGAAGCCGAGGGAATTTTACCAGGACGAGGAACAGCTGTCCAGCGGTGGAAAAAAGGCAGTTTCTGGGTTCCATATCAGTTCCATATCGGTTCCATGAGAGTTGAAATGAGTGAGACTTTTCTGTCGCCTGAGGTTTGTTGGTGTCCATGGTGCCGGTGTCCAAGAACAGCGACAAAGAGTGAGTCGAGACGACATGCCATGGCCAATTTCAGCTTACTTCGGCAGCGGCCACTGCTCTTGTGACCCCAAACTCTGATCCCAGTATACAAGCTTGGGTATGGTGTTGAGGTTGGGGGATGAATCAAGAAGGCTGGATGGAAAGTGAGTGCTGGGATGGCATTTGTGGACTTCAAGACGTGCATTTTTAAAGCTCATTCGGAGACGCATTTTTCCTTTGAGGTGTTTCCTTTCAGTGGTTTCCAGATGTTCGCAAGGCGAAGCGGAAAACCGCGTCCTGGGCTCCTTCGAGAGATGGAGGCCTCGGTGAAAAGACCTCAAATCGCAAGTCTTGACACCTCAAAGAATCAGAGAGACCTGGAGGTTTCACCTCAAGGCTGATGGAGGTTGCAAGCATGTTGTAGTTTCACCTGATTCTGCTGAAGGCTCCACATGCATGAACACCACTTCGACCGACTTGCTGTGGCTTATGCCGCGGATGAGATCGTTCCATGCTACTGGTGTTGCAGACCGTTCCCGCCTCAATGGGGCATCAACACCACCTGATTGCATATGTCAGAGCAAGCTGGAGTTGGGGCTTTCACCGCGTTGCAGGGTGTGATTTTAGGTTGTGCAATCACTTGTTCTTCACTGTCTTCACTTATATACATAAACTCTAAGAACTGCGAACTCGTGGCTCTTGAGCTGTGTCATCCAAGGTGCGTGACAAAGAGAGGTCAGCACAAAAACTCGTAGAGACCTTAGCGATGTGGCGACGTCTCAAGATTCTTCTCTGTTCCATAAGCGGCCAAGGAATCGCCTTCCATTCTGGGGCTCCCATGAACGGGTTTGCCGGGAAAACCCTAGCAAACCTGTTTTGCCCGGGCAGGTGCACATACGCACTTTCGATTTCTTCGCTGCGCGGGTCCACCGTTCTGTCGTTCCAGGCCCGCAGCTCTGAAGGTTCTCAGACATCGAGTGGAGAATGGCGCTGGGGGAGCCAGGTCGGACGTCTTGGACCAAAATTGCGGTTCGACTTTCTTTACCCGACCCCCTTGCCTCTGACAGACCCTAGCTAAACAAGAAGACCTTTCTTTACGATCAGATTCTTGTTGACGGTACTGCGGTCGTGGCGTTCTTTGGATGTTCTTTTGAGGCACCACGAAGGTCTCGCAAAGGACTTGCCGGAGTCCATGAAGGCCACGGTTTCTCTCAGTGGTGCGGTAACGTTGGAACCGTCGTGCGCTCATGGCATAGTGAGCTAGGTGTGGTAAGGGATGAATTGGGATGGATTCCGCAACTGGGATTCTGCAACTGTTGGGATTCCGCAACCGGGATTCCGCAGCAGTTCGAGCAGCAAGCACAGGCCCCAAGCATCCAAGCAAAAAGCAAAAACCGGGGTGGGGTGGTGGGTGGGAATCTCAGTTTTAGAACACCAATTGCAGAATCTGACTCTCCAGTTTCAGAATACCAGTTTCAGAATACCAGTTTCAGAATCCAAGTTGCAGAACCCTAGTTTCGGAATACAAGTTTCAGCCCCAGTTTCAGAATCCGACCCATTAGTTTTCGAAAATGGCTCTAACCGTATGAGTTGTTGGTATTGCTTTTGCACATCGGCCATGTTTGGCTTTCGATGCTTTACGTGGGAGTTTACATTGAGGGTTGGACCCGTGTGACCTGCATAATTCAGCGCTGGATCATAAAAGATGGTTTGCCTGGAAGCATGAGAGCTGCTTTCTGGCCAAGAGGGGCATTTAAGATGTTTTTCACTCAGCGAGCAACTTGCACTTGATCTCTGCCTGCACCCATGACTGAACGAAAGCAGACAATAGACTTCTAGATTTCCAAACCGTTGTAATCTAGCTATTTCAGGTACTCTGTCACCAGAGTTTCGAGATCTTCGAGACTCGTGCCATGCTCAGACATCGGACACACGCGAGCTTTGCTGAGCAGATGAAAGTGCAAACTGGGCCTGTTTGAATTTGATGGCTTCACTTTAAACATCTTTAAACTGTTTGGCTGAAAAAGATTCACACCGATCGCTGATCTCATTTTGATTCGCAGGAACGACTTGCGTGAGCTGCGCAAGCTTTCAGTTCCAGGCAATTCTCAACTTGGCTGTGCAAGCAGCGCAAGATGTGGATCGTCTTGTCAAAGGTGGTGAAGTCCCCGCTGCCAGAGCCTATGATGCGCAGCCTCCTGTGCAACATCGAACGTCTACAGGCGGGTTCAACGCGCTTTCCAGATTTGGTGCTGTACAAATGGCCCGATGATCAGGTCCTGATCAGACGTAGTCTTCCTTGCCATGCTGGTCACATGTGATAAGAGAATGAGCTGAGGAGTTTGTTATCATGTGCTTTCAAGATCCATGAAGAACAACGCACACTGCCGGTGCCTGACAGGCAGCGATAAACGCGCCCATGGGTTGGCGTCTGAGCTTGACAGGATCTCACACAGCTCGGCCGTTTGTTCCTAGTAGCTTCTTGTTACTAGTAGTAATGCCAGGAGGTACTATATAGTAGCTTCTTGCTCCTAGTAGCTATGCCCTTGTTCCTAGCAGCTTCTTGTTCCTAGTTCAATTTTCGAGAGACGTGCCCTGCGCGTGGCTTTGCCGGCTTTGTTTGCAGAGTTGTATTGTAGTATTCCGCTTGCTGAGGCACAGACGTGTGGAGAAACCACAGGCATCGAGTTGAAGAGATACGGACAGTATTGTGTGGACTTGAAAAGAAACTTCTTGAGTCAGTGTTGTTGTCAGTGTTGTAGTTAAACTGATGTCGTGAGGTTGAGTGATTTGGCGTAGTCTTCCACAGAAAGTAGCGATGGTTGTCTCAGCGAATCTTAAAAGTGTGAGATCCTATCATCGAGAGCAGTGAAGCAGCGAGTAGAATTCAGCAGACACTATTTAAACATGGCGAGATTCGTTTCGCAGGTGCGTCAGGAGACCTCTGAAAGGGACGCAGGTTCCTGCCTCAAAGCAGCAGGGCTTGCAGAAGTTCTTAACCATGCATAGTGCTTTGCAATTGATTTGCTTCAAAACTGGCTGGTGGCAGATTCTCATTACACTCTTCTGTGGTGGTTCCAGGACCGCGCCGACCCAGGCGTGCCCTTTGAAAAGGCCAGTGATCTTGGTATGTCAGAATCCCACATGAGACAGCTGCTCTTCACTGCTAGCAAGCTTTTCAGCTTTACATTGAGCTGGACATCCCGGAAGATCTGAAGGAGATTCCTCTTCTGAAGAAGAGCTAAAGGGTCAGAAAAAGTATATATCATTTCGGGTTTACTCCAATGGTTTTGTGCATTCAGCTGTCTTCTTTTTGCTGTCAGGTACATTTCAACTACTTGCCACGAGGTGGCAGAGGTATTTTGGCATTCAACTGAATTCTTGGCTACCCTTATTTATCATCCTATTGTAACCCATTGTTTGTTGCAAACGAATGTGCTTCAACACTTGCGCACAAATCCTCTGCTTACCTGGCAACGCTGCTCTTGCTCTCCGATTGGGAGCGTGTGCAGTTCCCTGGATGCAGAGAGTGTTGGGAGGGTGTTGAAACGTATAAGGAAACTGATAAAGTAGGACGTCCCACCACCAATACTGTTGAGTGAAGCCAGGTGGTATCGATCATGCGTACGTCGGCTTGTCCTTATTCACCAGAGAGTAGGTTTTAAACATTTTTCAATGTGCACAAATTCTCACTTGGATTCGTTAGATGCTGTAGGTCTGCCTGATTTTCAAGCACATTGAGATAGCTGTCGCGGTGACGTCTTTGTAAAGCTGAGTTCTGCTTCTAGTTCCTTCTCGCAGCCGCATCTCATGTAAGCGTGTTTGTGTAAGCCGGCTTCATCTTCAAGTGGCAAATCAGCCGTGCCCGAGGTGATGTATTGAATTCTGAAGCTTCGCAAAGAAGAGGCGAGGTACTGAGTGTCGTGGGTGCTTGTCAGACGTCGAGGACTTTTGAAGGCCTCCAGGTTCCAAGGGAGTGAGGTGTTTTCGAATAAAGATTTGACTGGTCAAATATATCATGCTGGAAGCATTTACTTGTCAGAGTCCAATCTTGTTTCTGTTCTGCCATGGAGGACAGATTCACACGGCAGCCTCCACAAAACAATGTACTTTTGGCTTTGGACCGTGGTGTCCACACTGTTCAAGTGAATCTGCGGTTCATAATTTGGTTGGAGATAAGCTGAGTGGAGACAAACTCTCCAGAGCTTTGGTGACTTTCTGCAAGCACGGGTAATTGGTGCCAACGTGCCAGGTGTAGCATGGTATAGTAGTTTGCATGCGGCAGCAATTCGGCATTAAGCTGCCCGCTGGGCATACAATGGGGTCACGGATATGACGTGCCGGACAGTCCCGACCTTTAAAGATCAAGGAGCGGAAAGGGGCGTTGAGAGGGACAGAGGCAGAGTAGGAATGATGATGGGATAGGCAACAAGACATTCCACTAATCTGCGCTTAGAGTGTTTGCTATCCCGTAGTGGATTTGAACTATGACAACCACCCTCGCCACAATGCACTCACCCACATACCCTGGCCCTGCAGTATAGCTGGCATTCTGCAGGCTGTCAACGAATCTACGTTGGGAGCTGATTCAGTGATAGAGCACTTCAATACCGCCTGTGTCGATGGATCCTATTGTTTTATCAGTCTCCAGTACATCATGTACATCTGTGTCGATGGAATCATGTTGCAAGAGCTAGGAACTGCTGTCTCGGTAAATGCAACTGCTCGTTGGATGAGGTTGATGTGGCAATGCAGAAGCTTGCAGTGCCATTGTGACTTTTCAAAGCCAAGCGTCGTGGAATGTATGGTGCCAGCGTAGCAATGAAAGCGGTTGAAGCTCAACTCTCTATGATTGGAAAACATGAAAACTTTAGTCAGACTGTGAAATGAGTGGTGCAAATGCTGGTCCAATTGAAATTTTGAACCTTGGTGCAAGAGATCACGTTCCGGTGCAAAGCGCCTGATACCACAAGTGTTCAGTACTTTTGGCAAATTGACAAGCCATGCTTGAAATTGTCATTCCTGAGCAACAGTGCAAATGTCCATTCTTGGAAGGGGCAATTTAGGCCCTACTTCCTCCCCATCAACAGGGAGAATGTTTCACACTTATGGTCTGACAGTCAATCCTCGAATTGTCGGGGCTTGGCTTCGCACCGTCTTGTATGCAAGTAGCTAGGATGGCAGTTTGATGGACACCAAATGCATTCTTACCACAATGCAGATGCTCTGAGGTTGCACAGAAGAGATGTTGGTTTTGTTTCGTATTGTTGGAGTGAATTCTCATGGCTGGATGCATTTGGTGGCGATCAAATTCTACAGCTGGACTTTATTGCCTGGTCGCAGGACCTAGACCAAAGCCCTAAGTATGCTGAGCGCATTCTGAAGCTTTACTTTTGCATCACAAAGGGCTTTTCCAGTCCAAGTGAGTGTGATCAGGCCGCGTGCCAGTTGCATACATGACCGAACTCAAGGGCTAGGGACCTCCAAAAGGTCGTAGATGCCCAAATCCGACTGGAGGGTATCCAACCAAAAGCTTCTGAACCAGGTACTTCAAAACCAGCAGGTGAGATTTGGAGTGTGCATAGCCTATGGTTTGTATCATTCCCTCCAGGTTTTCAAGGAGCGCAATTGGCAGTCTCCTGCGGTGGAAAAGGTGTGCATCGTTCTGCCTTTGATGTGGTTTGATGCACCTACTCGCTTCATTTCAATGGCACCATTGCAACACCCAACACTTTTGAACGCCCAAGCCTGGCTCAAGGGCCAAGGCATCAGGGCACCCGACAGCTTAGTCTGGCGGGAGGAGCTTTTGCGCTTGATTGTGGCGATTGTCGTCAGAGGTCGAAGTGGCGATTCTTCCTTTGCATCACATTTTCATGCCAGGAGTCAACATGGCGAGGAGACTGATGCTTGCCATGGCTGCAGCCTCCTGTGTAGGTTGGATCTCCACTGAAATCTTGTCGCCTCTTAGAGAACAGCTTCAGCTTCTTCTTTGGAGGAATTCTCAGACATAGCCCAAAGTTCTATTTCTGCTTGGCTGGGATACACCAAAAACCGGGTAGAGTTTGATCTTTCGACACCTTGTGAAAATGCAAGGTCGATGGGTTTGGTTGGAACCAGTTGTTGTACGTTGACTGTCCAGGTGTTGGTGCGTTCTTGCAGCCATCAGCGCAACCTATGTTCCCAACTTAGAAAGGCTGATTTCGAGACTGTAGGTATGGGAGCTAGGATTGGCACTTCCCTCCTCATGATTGGTCTATTCCAGCCTGGATCCTTTATGGTTGCATGTGTCATTTCCTGACGCAAGATCTGCTTGACCGTTTGGTGAACTCAGGACTGAGTTAGCACTCCGAGCAAGCATGAAGCAGAGTGCATTCGCGCAGTCAGGTGAAACTATTGCATTTAGCACAGTGCTTCAGACAGCCAATGAGAATTCGGCCTAGCTGCACAATGTTGAACGAATACAGTACTATGCAGCTCTGAGTCTCTTTGACAGACTGTTCTCTCCTACATTTCCAGCAGGTTCTGCAGAGAGTCGAGGCGACTCTGCGACACGCGTGTTGGGAACCGAGCTGATCATCGAAGCTAAGTATTTGCCCAGACTGATTTTACCTATGTTGCTGCTTGCAGGTCTAGTTGCTTCAGATTCCTTATTTCCTTTGCTTGAAGAGGAAGTTGCGTGGCTGATTCGTTGCTAGTTCATGCAGATGAGACTATCAATATACTGTAGACTATATTGATTTGCCTTTGCTCTAAACGTGAGGGCCATTGGCTCGTCAGTTCTTTTCATGAAACAATTTACCGAATTTGCTACTATGCGCACCAAAGAAGACCCTCAAGAATCTTTGAGAATAGCTGCAGAGCACAGATGCTCAGACAGGCACAATTGCTGCCAACTTGTGCAGTGTTATGGCTGCCAATCACATGAGCAACCTTAGAGCTTCGCGCGGAATGGCCATATGGTGAGTAGAAGCGGCAGCTTGAGGCGCTGGTTTTCGACATGCCAAGCCTATGGACGGCACTTTAGTTCAGCAAGCTCACTCAGGCCATGCTGGAGTACCGCTTGTATGATCTCCTCGAAGTTAACCCAAAGGCTTCGCAAGAGGAGATCAAAAGAGCTTACAGGCCACAGCTTTTTCTTCTCCAAAACACATGCTTTACATGTGTTGGGTCTTCAGCTAAAATCATGTGTCGAACTCTAGCAACATACTTGTCAAATCTTGTCAATGGAAATTGATGCATCATCAGGTTGACAGCATCAGACCATCATCAAAGAAGCACTGAAGCTTGTCAACCAGAGCCCGCGTTCAGTTTGGAGGCGTTTGGCCTTGAAGCTGCATCCAGATAGAGGAGGCGATGCCAAGGCATTCCAGGAGAAGCTGCGGAGCTCAGTTTTGGCATTTTTGTCCTCCTAACCAACTTGAGTTCATTATAAGGCTTAGCTAGGACTTGGGAGCACCAGCAGCTCAACTGTCAAATTGCCAAATCGAGGTTGCTTCTATTCTATGGGGGCTGTTGAACAAATGGCTTGCAATTCCATGGTCCACTGCCGCCTCCAAAATCGCCACCTACCTGGCACACCATGGCAAGCGGCGGCCCATAATCTTCTGTTCGCCAGTTTCCAATTTTCTGTTGTTTAGCCCCCCCTTGCTCAATTAAGTAGGCGCCTACTCATCTAAGTAAGGAGGCAAGCTACTAGGAGAAGTTCGCTCCTAGCTAGGACGCAGGATAGCTCACGCTTCTTCAACCAAGCTCTTCTCAAGTTTGCAACACCAAACAAAGCCTTTGTAACCATGATCGAGGACCAACCTTTCAACCAAACTTACTTGGATGGAACAGCTTGTGTTCTCACAAAGGGCTCCCTCTAGAGCCTGATTTCCTATGTGTGGATATCGGGTC